GTCTGTAATTTTGTGTGTGAGGAGGAGGTGGTTGGGGTGGTGGTTCAGATGGTGTGACGTCACAATTTTGAATTATAAAAAAGCAATGTTAGAAAATGACTTTATTTCGCGTTTTAGAAAACTGTTTTAATAAATTGTAATAAGAATTGATTAAAATACTCTATGTTGACAGAGTTCAGACAAGATTTTGGAAAATTATCGTATTTTAAGAAAACTTCAAATGCAACTTTTGGGGGGGGGGGGGGGGTTGTTGTATGACGTCATTTTAGGGGGGTGGTCAGGATTTTGTGACTATATGTGACGGAGGGGAGGGAGGGAGGAATAAATCGTCAAAAAAAAGCGTGACGTCATTAATTGATGACCCCTATCATGAGATAACTTCATACTGTTTACGTTGGTTAACTCCCCTTTGTTGTCGAATATAGAAACCTACACCATCTTTTTCAAAGGCTGATTTAATAATGTAATATCTAGTTAGATTGCGATATAATTTTAAATGAATGTATATAGGACGTTTAAAGAAAATTGTTTTGTAATAAGCCTAATAATAAGTTTTACTGATTTTGAAAATGTCTAAATTTGGTATCTGAATACGACGCGGCGAGTATTCAACCGTTTGAAGTAGTCTAGACAGTAATGTACACACAACATGGTAATTAAACGCATGCTAAATAAAACAACCAGAACCCTAAACATAGATATGAGAACGCCTGAAATTATATAAAAGACGCACCTTGATTGATTTAATTTTAAAACTAAATATTGTAAAGAAGGAGCGTCGTCCAGGTGTCTATGTCACGCTTCAAAAGCCCCCTCCTAAGGCTGTTTACGTCATCAGGTATTGTGTACATGTTGTGAGTGAAGATTGTTTATTTAACTACAAAGGGAAATAACCAGTACGGAGTCTAATCTAGACGTCAGGCGCCTTTAAATGTGGTATTGCTGCGCTTCAATGGAAATTCGGTTTACCGTAGAATCGGAGGCGTAGCGAGGGGGGGGGGGGTGTGCGGACCGCACCGGATGACACCATTTAGGGGGTGACACCAACGCAAACACTAGTAATAGATATGCAGTAAAATGATAATTCTACTTAATTAAATGATTAATTAGAGTGAATTAAATAGTCTTTTAAGAGCAAAGTGGACAAATCCCGACGCGGTGGGGAGGGGGGGGGGGGGGGGGGGTGACACCATGACGTAAACCTGCTAATGATATATCCAGCTGAATTTATAATCAAATATTAATAAAAATCGTTAGTATCATCTGAAGACAGTTCAAAGCAATCACCGTGGGAGTGACGGGGGTGGGGAGTTACATCAACACAACGTTGCAAAATGTGCCTGAAGAAAACGTTTTGATAGAGAATCGTAATAGCTAATACGTTAATCCATGTATGGGATGGGAGGCGGGGGGGGGGGGGGTTAAAAAATGTAATACATCCAGAAGAAAAAAAAATTAATACAAATACACATGCGCATACACATACCTACAAGTGCTTATGGAATTATATATATATATATATATATATATATATATATATATATATATATATATATATATATATATATATATATATATATATATATATATACATAATTTTTTTCTTACGGTGGGGGGGGGCGGGGAGTGACGCCATTAGGTGCACATTTGACTAGATTTGTGTAGAAAACAATGATGAGGTGTAATCACGTTTGAGTTCAAAAAATGGCTAATTGCTCGAATAGTTAATTTTATAATGGTCTTATGGAAATGTGTGTGTTATCGGACGGAGTGGTCTGGCGGTAGAGAGCTGGACCGCTAACCCTTAAGTCTCGAGTTCGAATCCGGTTCAAGTCAGTAGACCGTCCCTGAGTCCACCCAACTCTGATGGGTACCTAACTCACTTTAGGGAAAGTAAAGGCGGCTGGGCATAGTGCTGACCACACTATCTCTTCAAATGCCGAGGTCACAGAAACAAGTGAACTCTACTTCACTTGCCCCATAGACCGTCAGGTTTGAAAGGGAAACTGCTTTTTTTTTTTACTTTATTATGGAAGTGTATCATTTAATACTTGCTTGTCGATGAAAATGTGAAAAATGTTTAGATCTATACAAATGTTATTGTCTATTTGCAAAATAGTGAATATAAAATTATGTATGAAAGCAGTAAGCTTGGGCTGATAAAAACATTGCTCGAATTCCTCACAATTTTTTTGAAAACGTTTATCGATAACTGTCTATACTGATGTGTGTGTATTTGTGGTGAGTGTATGTGTGTGGTATGCGCGTGGTGTGTGTATGTGTGTACTTTCGAGTTACAAGAAGAGTTTCTTTCCTTTTTTTCTGTGGTAGACGTTGGCTATTTTTTGTTTTTTTCTTGTTGGGGGGGGGGGGGGGGGCACTTAAATGTGTAGGCCTGTGTGTGTGTGTGTGTTAATAGGGATAGGTGGAAACTGACTAGGACATATATTTTAATTGTGTATTTTATGTTTCTGCGTTGTCCTGTAAGGGGGTGTTCGCGTATCCACCCCCCCCCCCCCCCCCCCCATACGGAGAGATGCCTGAAAGAAACTTTAATAAAGACCAAATAACTTGAACCTCGACGAAAATATCTGCGACTCAATTGTTACAAATAATGTTGTATACAAAAATACAATATCGTAAAATGTAAATGTATGTATAGAAATAATCGACTGCGAAAAATAAAAATTCCAGGTTTATTTAGACAACACAAAAAAAAGATAACGCAAAGAGTCAGCCATTGAGTCAGTGTGATTTGAATGTGCGAACTTCCTCCGCCTAGGCCAGGGGTCGGCAACCTTTTGAAGCGGAAGAGCCAAAAGTTACAATTTTCAAAATTTCCCTGGTTTTAAAGAGCCACTAACATTTTTTTATTTCAATTTTTTTTTTTTATTAAGATTATTAGTATTTGTTCAAGGAGCTGGAGAGCCGCATCTTGATATTAAAAGAGCCGATTGCGGCTCGCGAGCCGCAGGTTGCCGACCCCTGGCCTAGGCACTAGGGCAATTGGCTTATCTGTGTCACTGGCCAGATAAACTTTTTCACTAGATGCGGGTCAATCAAAGTAGTGTGCATAGCTTTATAAAGATACCAAACAATGCAAAACCAATGCATGCGTTTTTACATAAACGAGGGTCATTAGTAGTCCGAAGTTTAAATACGATGTGATATTTTGGAGTTCCAGTGTGAAATGAACTAAAAATTATGATGTAATGGGTTCGGGTGGAGGGCACATTGTTTGACTAGGGGGTTGCTTTAGCAACATTGCTGATGCTGAGCATTTAAATATTAAATTAGCATATTTTAATTACATTGTTAAGTAAATGTATATCCAATACAGGTATATTAAAAGTAAAACATGTGTTTTAGATTTGAAATGTTTTATTATTAGGCTCTTATTCGTCTTGGTTTTTGTATAGATTCAAATTGGGGAGGGGGCTCGAAAAATATATATATATATATATATATATATATATATATATATATATATATATATATATATATATATATATATATATATATATATATATATATATATTCTCCCCCCCCCCACCCCCGAATAAATGCCTGGAAGAAACTCTGATTACTTTAATTGATTTGAGAATTAAGCGCTGTGCAGTTTAAGTATGTGCCAAACTCAAGGTGCTACAAACAGGAAACCAAGATCTATGATACGATAAGCTATACGTCCTTCACAGACTTAAGCACACATCATTAGCGCCAGCTGTAAAACACGGCAACACGTGTTGATTCAACAACACAGAAATGTTACGCAACATTGGCGTCATGATCGCACAGGTGGTCTTGTCTGAACGTGTGAGGCGCGACACCCCAGGGGCTGTTTACCTTGCCCGTACCACGGATAAGGGAATCTTTTCTACAGATAAAAAGGGAAGCCACTAATGTACATGGAACTGTAAAAAAATATAGTCAGTATATGTGTGGGGGGTGGGAAGGGGATGGAAGAGGCAAGGGGTTCTTACCAAAAATACGCCAAATTCTATTTTGAGAATTTAATGGAGTCTCTGCGCAGACAAATGATTACTTTGCCGATAAAATTTATCGGGAAAACAGCAGTTTACTCAATTTACAAAATAAATTTTAACTTTTTTTTAAAAATTTCGATGCCAAACTTTATTAGATATCACAATCATCAAACAAATAAGACAAAAAACATGATTTTAGATGAAAGTTGACTACCAGTTCCCCCGTAAGTAAAAATGTGTTAAATAAGAAAAGCTTGGAAAGTGCTGTAGGGGTGGTGAGGCTGACGTACGACCGTGTTTCTTCCAGGCCTCTCTTCGCGGGGGGGGGGGGGGGGGGGAGCTAGAGACCCCCCCCCCCTCCGAAAGAGTCTACCGCCTTTCCCGAACGAAATGGAATTTATATAAAAAATATATACTTTTAACAGTATCCGCCTCCACCCCCCCCCCCCTCACCCCACCCAGGAAATTTCAAAAGCCCCTCCGCAGAAAAAAAGTCTGGAAAAAACTATGCGTAGGACATCATTTTAGTTGAATTCTTACTTTGCTATGACAATGGGAGATTGGGATGGGGGATTAAATCAGCCCGCCGACTTTAATCGTCTTCGCTATTGTCTGAAATATAATCCATCTCTCTGTACTGATAAGTGAACCATAAGTGATCGTCATAAAAGTCGGGAAAAAAAAAATTATTGACCATAACTAAGGGAGGTAACTGTCAATTACAAATTAAGGTAGACAAAAGCAACATATCAATTTATTTATTTTAAAAATGATCTGCAGCCGAGTCTATGAAGCTCAGTAAGACTGTTGTACGAATAATTTACCAGGTTACTTGCTCTAGTAGTGGCTTGATCTATTTAGATAAGATCCCGGGACATAAGTGATTCGCGTGTTTTTCGATAGACGTGATGAAAACGATAAAGAAAAGTAATCACATTTATATCTAAATTTAAATAAAAAAAAGAAAACAATGATTCCTGATGTTTTTGCTTTGTTGATAAAACTATCATCTAGAAACTTTAAAATGTCTGACATCAAAGATAAAAAGAAAGATGCTGAAGAGAAAGTATATGGTGGCATTGAAGGTCCAAACTCCCAATATGTCAAACTGATATCTTCAGACGGACATGAGTTTATTGTAAAGAGAGATCATGCTTTAACATCTGGAACCATCAAAGTAATGTTAAGTGGTTCTGGTCAATTTTCAGAGCATGAGAACAATGAAATTAACTTTAGAGAAATTCCGTCTTATGTCCTCCAGAAAGTGTGCATGTATTTTACCTATAAAGTCAGGTACACAAAATCTTCAACTGAAATTCCAGAGTTTCCAATTGCCCCTGAAATTGCGCTGGAATTACTAATGGCTGCCAACTTTCTTGACTGTTAGTGACATAGTTTTCAACCCATCATCTAGCGTGAAGATATCAAAAGCTATTATAAAATTTAAAAAATATGGTTACTACATTTTATTTTGTATTTATTTTTATTGAGATGGACCGCCAACTGTTTAGTTAGTAATATAATATTCTTTTTTTTTTTGGTTTTTCTTTTGTCATATTCACTGTTAATGTCAATTGAACGAGGTAATAACCCCGTTCCCATAAACACAGTCAGTCAAGCGAGGCTACCTACATTCAGTGTTATTTACAAAACTTTTACAACTAAAATTGTGTGAAAACTATAAAACAGTGGTTTTTAACCTGGGTTCGATCGAACCCCTCGGGTTCTGCAAGTCAGTCTCAGTGGTTCGGCGGTGGTCAAGACACACACACCCTACTCATATGATTCACGATCAGATTTTTTTCAGTGTGGTGAAATAACTGTTATGAATGTTTCGGTAAATCAGCATATGAAACTGGAGGGGTTCGTTGCCTGGATCCGACAAATGCCCGAAAGAGACAAATTGTCCTGTTTTGGCAAGTGTCATTCAGACATTTACTGCACACGACGTTATAGCTAGGGATAGGAGGGTGATATAGACATGTGATATAGACCGGTGTGATATTGACATTTTTTTATAGATATGTAATATAGACATGTGATATAGACATGTGTTATAGACCAGTCTGATATAGACCGGTGTGATATAGACAGATCTAATATAGACCGGTGTGATACAGACCGGTGTGATATAGACCAGTGTGATTTAGACCTGTTTGATATAGACATGTGATATTGATCGGTGTGATTTAGGCGATGTGATATAGACCGGTGTTATATAGACAGGTGTGATATAGACAGGTGTGATATTGACATTTTTTATAGATATGTAATATAGACATGTGATATAGACATGTGTTATAGACCAGTGTGATATAGACCGGTGTGATATAGACAGGTGTGATATAGACCGGTGTAATATAGACCGGTGTGATTTAGACCTGTTTGATATAGACATGTGATATAGACCGGTGTGATATAGACATGTGATATAGACCAGTGTAATATAGACATGTGTGATATAGACAGGTGTGATATAGACCTGTGTGATATAGACCGGTGTGATATAGACCAGTGTGATATAGATCGGTGTGATATAGACCGGTGTGATATAGACCGGTGTGATATAGATCGGTGTGATATAGACCGGTGTGATATAGACCTGTGTGATATAGACAGGTGTGATATAGATTGGTGTGATATAGACCGGTGTGATATAGATCGGTGTGATATTGACTGGTGTGATATAGACCGGTGTGATATAGATCGGTGTGATATAGACCGGTGTGATATAGACCTGTGTGATATAGACAGGTGTGATATAGATTGGTATGATATAGACCGGTGTGATATAGACCAGTGTGATATAGACAGGTGTGATATAGAATATGTGTGATATATAATATGTGTGCTATAGACTGGTGTGATATAAACCGGTGTGATATAGACCGGTGTGATATAGACCGGTGTGATATAGGCCAGTGTGATATAGACTGGTGTGATATAGGCCAGTGTGATATAGACCGGTGCTCTATAGACCAGTGTGATATAGACCGGTGTGATATAGACCAGTGTGGTATAGACTGGTGTAATAAAGCAATAAATTTTAATTCGTTTCTTGTTGTTTGTATATATAATGGCTAGATGAAAGTGTTGATTAAACAATTTGCCATATTCTTTCTATAAATCCAGTATAGTCAAGTAAAATTCCTTTTTCGAACCTGACTGCCCACGTGGCAAGTAAAGTAGCGTTCACCTGTTTCTGTGCCCTCTTTATATGAAGGGATATTGTGGTCGTTACTAGGCACCGTCATCTTTACTTTTACTATCGTGAGTTAGGTATCTATTAGAGCTGGGTGGACTCAAAGATATACTTGACTTGAACACGAATTCGAACTCGAGACTATTGGGTTAGCAGCAGGGGCGTAGCGAGGGGGGATGGGGGTGCGGACCGCACCGGGTGACACCATTTAGGGGGGGGGGTGGTGACACCAAGGCAAAAAATAGCAAAATATATAGAGAAAAACTTGAGGGGGGTGCAAATCGAAAGTTTGAGGGGGGGGGGGGTGCAAATCGCGAAGGGTCGCTACGCCTCTGGTGGGGTGACACCATTAAGTGCCGCACCGGGTGACACCCGACCTCGCTATGCCACTGGTTAGCAGTTTAGTGCTCTACCTCTAGGCTATATTGTTCCGTCTAAATTCGGTTTAAGTCTTTGCAAATGATGCAACCGTTCTTTTTTGTAAATTGTATTTTCTACAACATTTTGTACGGAAATTAATAAAATGTTCTAATTATTATTTATTATTATTGTTTGGATATTACAAATCGACATCTAAATCGACAACAAACTTAATCAAGGACCAGCATACTTAGTTGGCTAAAAGACACTAGATCTGAATACTTTTACAGATAAGGTTCCTACTGGTTGTCCTTTTGATTCTATTTTTAACTCTTGACCTTAGCGTTTAAACAAGTATAACAATCGACAAAAAAATAATTCGAAAACACGAAACTAAGCCATGCTCTTAAATTTGTTTCTTGCAAGCAAAGGTCATTTTTGTATGTTAAAAACTATTTCACAATGCGGCAGTTTTATCGCTTATTGAAAAATCAGCTAGCATTTATTTGTGCGCTTATTTATTCCACACAAGCAGGTAAGTATGTGATTTATGTTAACAAGAGACTATACTATTATTTATAAACTTTACCTTTTAATCTTCAAACCATTTGCTTAAGATTTATACAACCGACCACAGCGTACCCATTAGAAGCCGTCCTTAAATTATCAACCAGCCGTACTTTTAAGTCCCAGCCACGCCGTAGCAGAAAAAACCATAAAATACTATTTAAATCCAACCACGCCATACTCATTACATCCAACCACCCGGTACACTTTACACCCAGCCACACCCCCTCCCCAGGAACGAAATAGAATTTAAATAGAAAAATTATACTTTTAACAGTGTCCGCCCCTCCCCCATCCCCCACCCCTCTCAGGGATTTCAAAAGCCCCTCCGCAGAAAAAAAGTCGGTAAAAAACAATGCGTAGGACATCATTTTAGTTGAATTCTTACTTTGCTGTGATGATGGCAGAGGGGGTGGGGGATTAAATCTGCCCGTTGACTTTAATTGTCTTCACTATTGTCTGAAAATTAATCCATCTGTCTGTACTGATAAGTAAACCATAAGTTATTGTCAGACAAAGTCGAAAAAACATTATTTGAACAAAACTAAGGGATGTAACTGTCAATTACAAATCAGGGGAGACAACTACAACAATCGATTTATTTATTTAAAAAAAAAATGATCTATAGCCGAGTCTATGAAGCTCAGTAAGATTGTTTTACGAATAATTTACCAGGTTACTTGCTCTAGTAATGCCTTGATCTATTTAGATAAGATCCATTGACAAAGGTGATTCGCGTGGTTTTTCGATAGACGTAACGAAAACGATAAAAAAGTAATCACATTCTTTATTTAAATAAAAAATATGTGTAGATCATACGTTTTAAGATGGATGCTGATCTGGTGTTACTACTATACATTGAATTAATTGTTATTGAGAGGGACAGCCCATGGGTCAGCAACCTGAAGCTCGCGAGCCGCATGCGGGTCTTTTGATGGCAAGATGCGACACTTCAGTTCCATGCACAAATATTAATAGTTATTTTATTATATTTTCCAAACTCACACAAATATTTTTTTTCAAAACGATATAATATTAAACGTAAACAATAAACACTCGCTATTCTATTAGAATGTTTAGTTACTCCCTATTTCAATGGACTTTGAAATAGGGAGTAACTTCCTATTAAATTGTCCATCCTAAAGAAAGTTTCTTCCAGACTTTTTTCTCCGGGGGGGGGGGGGCGACTAAAATTTCTGGGGTGGGGTGGACACTGTTAAAAGTATATATTATATATATATATATATATATATATATATATATATATATATATATATATATATATATATATATATATATATATATATATATATATATATATATATTTATATTCCATTTCGATCGGGGCAGTAGACTTTCTTCAGGGGGGTGGGGGCACCCGAAGAGATGCCTGAAAGAAACTCTGTTCTCGAATCGAGAGTGGTCATCTATGTGGTGGATATCAAAAAGAAACTAAATAAGCTAAATATAAATCGACAAGGAAAGGGAAACAGCCTATCGTCGATGAAGTGGATTGTTTGAGTTTGAAGATGAAAATAACAAGTTATGAGCCAGATTTAACCAAACTTTAAAACAGCATACAATGCCAAACTGTTGCAAATATTATTCAATAATTATAGTTATATAATTTGAATACTGATTTTATTATTCTAGCAGAGCTAGCTAAAATACTTTACCCGTTCATATTTGTATGTTTTTATATGAATAAATATAATTTCAAATTTAAAGCAAATATATATATTTATATAGGCCTATATATATATATATATATATATATATATATATATATATATATATATATATATATATATATATATATATATAATCCTAATTAACTAACATAATGTAAAAATTAAAATATTAGTGGCTCTTTAAAAAAAGGGTATTAAGGTAAATTGTAAATTTTGGCTCTCAAAAGGTTGCCGACCCATGGACAGCTACATGTTGAGTAGTAGGACTATAATGGCAGTTTTTTCTTTTTCTTATATTCGCTGTCAATGTCAATTGAACGAGGTAATAATCCCGTTCTCATAAACACAGTCAGTCAAGCGGTGTGATATAGACCGGTGTGATATAGACCGGTGAAATAGACCAGTGTGATATGGACCGGTGTGATATAGACCAGTGTGATATAGACCAGTGTGATATAGACGTTTGTGATATAGACCGGTGTGATATAGACCAGTGTGATATAGACCAGTGTGATATAGACCTGTTTGATATAGACCGGTGTGATATAGACCGGTGATATAGACCGGTGTGATATAGACCAGTGTGATATAGACCTGTT